ATAGTGCCATAGCGCCATAGCGCCATAGCGCCTTAGTTCCTTAGCGGCAGGCAACCCCCATAACCATCCCAATAGTGCACTCTGCACTAAAAAGTAAGTCGTAAACGTACAAGAACATTCAAGATAGTGCCCAACTCAAAACTTGGAAATTATTGGACTGACAATAGAGCAATGGCTGATAGATAAACATATGTAGAAACACTGACGCAATTGTATGGCAGTTAATAAGCAGTCAAATCGAAACTAGTATTGTGTTGAAAAGAAGGAAACATATGTTACTCGTACTTCACGTGTAAAGATATAGAGCTTTATAGTTTTCATCTGTTCCGCTTTATTCAATTCTATTTTATTTGACTTTTCAGGTACTCTCATTTGGAAGGCAATTCCCTTGCTGGATAAATCGGAGAGATTCTCTGTCAATCTGCCGAATGCATTTAACTTCAGCTTCAGCTTTGCTTGGTTCCTGAGAATATACCTGATCTTTCTCGTTGTTGGTATGTTCAAATGTATTGACACCTCTGCGGTGCAGTTACAATCAACTCAGATTCACATCAGGATCATTCATCTAACATCACTGGGATCACGGTGCATCAAAGGCAGCAATTGACGAATCCTTACTTATAGTGAATCCATCAGTTGCATGCACCATAATCCGATTGATTTTGGATCATTGATCCCTAATCATCACACAAAAACGCACCCATAGAAGAACATTGTACCTAACAAAAAGAAAACAAGAAACACTCTAGTCCATAATGTAGGCGCTTCTTGAGCCGACAGATTAGCTTCGTATTTGCCAGATCAGAGAATTCTATTCATCAGGACTTTGTTTGGCTATATTATAGGGTTAATCAATGAAATAAATATTAGCACATCACATAGCAGAACCGAAATAGGCAAATAGTGTGGTAGCTTTATTAACCCGTTAACCCGGGGTACGAACCAAGGGTTCCATTGTTCATTTGATCTTATTGTTCACAACTAAACTAATATCTGTACGTCAAAGATTTGCGATCTTTTGATTGTCAAAATAGTAGTTGTACAATGAAACACGGAGTGAGCCGATAAAAGGGAAGGACACGCCCCTGTCGAACGTTTGGCTGTCATTAATTGATCAATATTGGTGGTTGTCAAGAAACTGGTCGTGACGCTGGCTCAACAGTAGAGCTAAAGGAAAATTTGTGTGTAGTAAACTTACAATGATAAATATGAGCTTGTAAGCAACAAGCCTCCATATGAGCATATAACTAAGACGAGGCTCCTAAAAAGTGACTGTCGGCATTTTAGAAATAGGGATCTTTTTAAGCAACCTGTTTAGAACCTATTTGTGTTAGTCTGAAGGGTTAAATTCCTAAAAAGACATACATGATGTACCTCTTACTAACCGAGTTCGAGGTCCGTACTGTAAGTTACGGACCGTGCTTTTACCCCTTCGATTTATTACCTAAGCGGGAAGTGCGCGGGCCATAAATCTAAGGGGGAGGTGTGGGGGGGGGGGGG